CTTATATGCAAATGTATGCAAATATAATACTTTTTTATGCATTTTGGGGTAAAATATAAATCAAATATGTTTTTGAACGGCTTTGTGAGATTTATCCACGTTTGAGTATAATATTTGATTATGTAGGATTTCTTTGTAAATAATCTTGCAAACTATATAGAAAATCATTTTGATTATATACTGTAGGATAACTTTAATTTATATTAACTTTATATTTAGCATTCAATTAGGAATCTAGGAATATACTATACTGGATATATAGGACTTCATTATAAATAATCTTGCAAATTATATAGAAAATTATCTTGATTAAATAGGATAACTTTAATGTATATTAACTTAATTAATAAAGTTATATTTAGCATAAAGAAAGTAAAAAAAAAACATTCATTCATTATTTATTTTAATATTATTTTCATGGCAATTAAAGGACTAGGCTTAATGCAAATATAGGCTTGTATGAAAAATAATACTTTATTTATTTATTTTAATTTAATTAGATTTATTTCTTTTGCGGTGCAATATCACCCAAAATGTGTTTTTGAAAGGCTTTGTGAGATTCATCCATATTTGAGCAATTCTTTATTTAATAATATATTGTATTTGATTATATAGGCCATGGAATCATGGAAATTTATAGGAAATTTTCTTGATTATATGGAATAACTTTCACTGCATATTTACTAGGGGTGGGAATCACCAGAGGCTTCACGATATGATATTATCACGATACTTGTGCCACGATACAATATTATTGCGATTTTAAATATATTGCGATATTCTGCGATATATTGCAATTTATTACCTTTTTCCAACTTCAAATTATGTCCCCAAAGGAAAGCTTTGACAACATCTGTTTTAACTCAAAAGAAAAATTTCTCAGTTTATGTCAAGACTTTATTATTCTACCAAATAGTATAATAAAAGATCGATAATTGGCGTCCGTGTATCGATACAGTATTGCCGCGGAAAATATCGCGATACTATGCTGTATCGATTTTTTCCCCCACCCCTAATATTTACACAAAATCAAACCTTCAATGAAAATCTGTCCTCTCACACTGTCATTTCAGTTATCTTGAGTATTTTCCCCTTTTTTTTTCTTCCTAACATTTATGAATTTTAATCAATCTGTAACATCTTTGCTTCTTTCAGGAAGTTGTCTCAGGCAATCAGAAGCGTCTACGATTGACTTGCCAAAGAGCTCTTCCAACATCTGCAATATAGTCTGAACTTTACAATACTTCCACAGTGACACAACCAAACTGTATTTGACACGGTCGCCTGGTATAGTAGCACAGTGTGGGAATGCATATGGATTTTATATCTATATCTAGCCTGAAAGACCAAAAAAGAGAGATTTCCTATTACCTGAGTGGGACTGGCAAAAGAGGTTTGAGGGAACTTTGGGATAGAGCAGAAGAATGAAGTGTTCATGTAGGCTAATTTGTGGTGGCTGAGAGCCCGGTACGATGGAGACAGGGCCAGTAATCTAGCAGACTTCCATAACGGACACACAGAGTATGTCGAAGTCCAATCCCAGTGATCCGTTCCACATCTGACTGACCCACACTCACACGTACACACTTCCGTTCTGTGGAAAACCACTATTTTCCCTGAACACACACTGATATCTAAACCCTTTAACCTGTGTATAACTCCTTTTTAGTTGCAAACTAAACATCCATCGAGAACTACAGGGCATTTAGTGGATGTTTGACTTGTCAGATGTTTTAAAAATGGGGTTCGAGTGACCTGAAGTTTTCTTGAACCAATCAACTATCCCAAAGCTTAAAGGGGTCATATGACGTTGCTAAAAAGAACATTATTTTGTGTATTTAGTGTAATGCAATGTGTTTATGCGGTTTAAGGTTAAAAAAACCACATTATTTTCCACATAATGTACATTATTGTTTCTCCTCTATGCCCCGCCTTTTTGAAACGTGTCGATTTTTACAAAGCTCATCGTTCTGAAAAGCGAGGTGTACGCTGATTGGCCAGCTATCCAGTGCGTTGTGATTTGCCGAATACCTCAAGTGTGTGACGGAAATGTTACTCCCTTTACCATACTGTGATGCCGTGTCCCGGTGCAACGAGACAAAACCAATATAGCCCATTACAAACAAGGCATTTGTTGCATCCAGTGGGGACATATTTACGGATTATAATGACTTATACTGTCTTTTTTACGCATTGCGTTGCTGCGCGCCGCGTAAACATAAAACCATGTCTGCATTTGTGATCAGAGAAACAACAAACAACAAGCGCTACTCTACACTGCTCAAAACTTGCGTTTGAATCGTCAGTGGCAAATTCTTTAAATATGAAAACGTACTTACAGGCTGTGAGTCAGAAGAGCCAGACTGTCCTTGTAAATTTGGAATTGCCCCACTTTATAGAAACAAACTTTGTGCACAGCCGGCATTGTAGGCTACTCTCCCAGGATCAGGAAACAGTCCTCCATAAAATGCCACAGTGACGTAGACATGTGGGGACGTGTTTAAACGAGGCGTTATAGGAGGGAGTGGACGAGTCTTAACTTTTATAAAGAATATCTCTTTGGGTTTGAGACTTTAGTCTTTGGAACTTTAGGGATCTTATCTATTCACGAACAGCTTGTAACAGTCCAAAGAGAAAGGAAAACTTGAAATTGCATCATATGACCCCTTTAAGTAATGAATTGGGAAATGTTTGCCATACAGAAAATACCTTAAAAGACTAGGAAAATAAAGAAAACAAATACGTATAATCTAACAGCCAGGTTTATAAACTTGCCCTATAGATTTGTTCATTGAAATGTTGTAGATATAACTCTTTTATAATGTGCCAATAATTGCATTGTTAATTGTTTCAAGTCGTAAAATATCAAATCACCGTTCATTGTTGAAAATACTCAGTGGGATCTTAACAATTTCAGATATAAATAAATGTCTTTCCGTTGTTTGCAAATTGATACACTGGTTTGGAAATAATTTGCGGGTCCTTTATGTAAATAGAGCAACAGAACAACATGTGTTAGCAGTAAGGGAAAATCAAACAACTGGTCAGAGCGGCTAGAGAGCGGCTGAATATAATTATGCCTTCTTTTTCTAAACAACTCTCAAAAAGATTCAATTCCCACGTTGTCTGCTCTTATTGAGGGCGTCTTGTGATAAAAATTGGCAGCTAACTCTTTTTTTGCTCAGACAAACAGATTGGATGATGATTTTTCTGTGATGTGGCAGGTTACATATTAGAATGGCTGTGTTGAGAACTTAATGTAGGAGTGAGAGATCCAAAGATTAAAATAAGGATTTGAATGGTTATTTGCTAACACTTTAGATTAGGGAACACACATTTACTATGAGCTAAGAGTTTTCCCAAAATAAACTCCTAATTTGCTGCTTATTGATAGTAAGTAAGGTAGTTGTTGTACTAGTTATGTTTAGGTACTGGGAAGATTTATGAGTACTAATAAACAGCCAATAATAAGATGCATGCTAATAAGCAACTAGTTAATAGTAAATGGTGTTTCTCTAATTTAAAGTGTTACCTTTTTTATATCACATTATTTCAAATTTGGGCACAGAGTTCATGTGAAATGCAGTTTGCAAATGATTTTACTTTTATAAAATTACATATTTCAGAGGAAACAGAATATTCAACAAGAAAAGGTTTAGGGTGGACATTTATTGGATCAAAGTGGGCATTACATACTAAAATGGGGGCTGATGGATGGATGGATGATACTATAGATGGATGGATGGATACATATATGTGACGCTGGACCACAAAACCAGTCATAAGTAGCACGGGTATATTTGTAGCAATAGCCAAAAATACATTGTATGGGTCAAAATGATCGATTTTTCTTTTATGCCAAAAATCATTAGAATATCAAGTAAAGATCATGATCCATGAAGATATTTTGTAAATTTCCTACCGAAATATATAAAATATGAAATATACAAAAACAACAGTTTTGATTAGAAATATACATTGCTAAGGACTTTATTTGGACAACTTTAAAGGCGATTTTCTTAATATTTGGATTTTTTTGCACCCTCAGATTCCAGATTTTCAAATAGTTGTATCTCGGCCAAATATTGTCCTATCCTAACAAACCATACATCAATTGAAAGCTTATTTATTCAGCTTTCAGATGAAAAATTGACACTTAAGACTGGTTTTGTGGTCCAGGGTCACATATGGATAGATACTATCGATGGGATGGATGGATAGTATGGGTAGCATGGATGGATGGATACATATGGATGGATGGATATATGGATAGATACGATAGGTAGATTGATACATACTATAGATATATGGATGGATACTATAGATGGATGGATAGTATGGGTAGCGTGGATGGATGGATACATATGGATGGATGGATATATGGATAGATACGATAGGTAGATTGATACATACTATAGATATATGGATGGATACTATAGATGGATGGATAGATAGATACTATAGATAGATACTGTAGATAGATTGATGGGTAGTTAGATAAACATATAAAAAATGCATAAATTGGGGCCATTTAGTTTGGAGAAAATTGTAAACAATATGATTTAATACTCCATATTTCCTGTCCTCCTTCAGCTCTTCAACTCTTTCATTAAAAAGTGGCAAAAAGACCCAAAATCTTATCATTGAATCATTTCAGTAATGGAGTCAGTGGTGTAACTTCATTAACTGAAAAGACCTATGTGAGATTTTAGTTTTTAAAAGAGTTGTAGGCGATTTCATCTGTTCAACTTCTGTCAGACACTGATCACTTCAACCGCACAACCTCTATCTAAATCCCTACCCATCCAAAGACATGTCAGCCAACCCCAACATGCAGAGTGATAGAGTAAAGTGTGAACCGCTCCACTGACAGTTAGCACTGTCTCAGAAACAGGTGTGGTTTCTCAGGACACCTGTTTCAGCACTATCTGTCGTAGTAGCAATACTTTGTGTGGTAATCCCGCATAATCACTCATAGAACCTTAAATGTCATATTTCAGTGATTGAAGCTCATGCACCAAACAGCAAGAGAGAAGAGGTGGTGTTCAGCTCTTCAGGTCCTCACACTCTGGGTAACAACACAGTGGAGTACCAGAGAGGAGCAGAAAGACAGACGCTCCGCTGCTACGGACCGCTGTCTGCAGACTTTACAATAAAGGTGAGGTTTTTTTTGATGGAGTGATATCTCCTGTTGTGTTGGAGTTTCCAGCTGAACTTATAAGTCATCTACTTCAAGCACCCCCTAAAATAAAAGAGAACTAGTTACACAAAAAGTGAAACCTCTATCATCATTTACTCATTCTAATCTCCACTATTTTCTTTTTTCCATAACATACAAAAGGAGAATGTTGAGGCACTTCTTTTCAACACAACAAACGTGGATGGTCTGTTGTATTCATAATGCTTTTAAGACAAAACTACAAATGAGATTTGAGAATTGTACATTTTTTATGATTGTTTTCCCCCCCAATTTTTATTATATATAATTATAAATATGTATATGGTTTGATTTGATTTATAATAATAATAATAATGCAAGTTTATAGTTATACAAATAATAATTAAAATGCATTATATCTAAATATATATATTAACTCTGTGAAGCCTGACATGAAATAATAGTCAAAAAATAAAATGTAAAATATATATATTATTAAAAAACAATTACAAAAAAAAAAAAAAAATTTGTAATCAAAATTTTTGCATCATATTTTATACATCAGGCTATTATGACTCACATACTATGATATAGGAAATTATGGAGGTCCTTCCTTTTATGTCTAAGTAAGATGTTATTCACATGCTTAGTTTTAATATCAAATCTCTGTAATTTTTATTGTGGGGGCAAAACATATAATGCAGTGATGATCGAGAGATGAGCAAATAAATGTCCCTCAAATGCCTGATGTATCATATTTGATACTCACATTTTAACATGATTTTTCTAAACAAGTTGCTGCAGTCCAGTAAGTGAAATATTGCTAACAATATAAGTTATTCTTATGTTTACTTCATAAAAATCAATAAAAATTGCACAGCAAAAAGACATGTGAACCACAACCTGAAGGGAGACATTTTTACAACTATACTAATATGCCTTTTACTTGCTAAAAAAGTATAAACTGCCAATCGAAATCCAGAGGTCATATATCATTTCATTTATAAAAGGTAGATTAAATTATTTTTATTTAATTTGGCATTGTCATTTTCACAAACCCTCTGCAGTTCCATCATGAACCTGTAGTGTTTTTAGATGTATTGAATACTAATGACTGTGAAAGTTGCATGCAAACTGAAGCTTCATGATGAGTTTAAAGCAGCAGAGAGAATCAGTGTTTACTCTCCACGTGAAACTGTAAACACGGCACAATATGATTGTAATCATGTTAGACTTTCTCATCTCGTGACCTGAGGATTCTTGATTAGTCTTGACACCGCGGCTTACTGTAATTGAACATGACTCATTACTGTAGTTAATTGCAGCATCACGCAAACAGTATTTAACTAATCATCACAGTCCCAGAAATCAAGACTAGAGGATATTCAGTGGCAGATGATGCATGCTGTGTTTTATATGGAAATTATGACATGAGTTGGACTGTGGACCCCTTGAGTAAATTTGCTGCTTATTATACATGTCAAAAACATGTCCAAAAGTGATTAGGAATATGGCTATTAAAAGTAAACGACATTACTTTTAAGTAATCATTATAAGTGAATTCGGGTTCTCCCCAGGTGAAGTACGCTGGCCTTAAAGACACAGTGATGCAGTTCATGTTTTACCAGCCTATTCGCTACCAGTGGAGGGAAACTGACTTCTTCCCCTGCTCTGTCACCTGTGGAGGGGGTAAGTGTTATAGATTGATTAGATACAGTGATTTTTAATCATTCCCAGTGATTTGAATGGTTTGAATTCACTAAAAGCACTCGTTGGCCCACCTACAGTTATGATGCTTTAAAATCTGGAATCTGATAAGCCAATAATAATTTTCAGATTATGGCTGATTACTGATAATGAATGACCAAATGATCAAATTCTTCACTATTTTGTCTAAATGAATGAAAAATAAAAGCGATGTCATAAAAGAGAATCAGTGATTTTGAATGCAACAAGTGAATTTTAATCACAAAATCTGAATGTACCATATAATAATGGATATTTATTTGCTAAAGATTACAGAGGTAAAAAAGGATTAGTGTTTTTAAAAATTAACTTTGAGTGTTAGATGAAGGCAAATATATAATCTAAATGTAAAAATGGAGGAAATGAACAGTATAATAAAAAAAATTGAGAAAAAAAATTGAAATATATTCAATATCATTGTCAATACCAAAAATTTAAAATCTAATATGTGCTCTAAAATTTAGCAGATAATTGATGTGGTACCTATATATCATGTATTAATATGTGATGCATGCGTTATCATGTATACTACTTAAAATCCTGCCTACATAGGGTGCAATTGTCATAAGCAGTTACTGTTTTTAATTTCTGAAAGTTGTTGGACACGTTTTTGGCTAATATTGATTTATGACGAACATTTGAAGAGTCTCACCCCTAAAGATATTTGTCAGCTTCAGATGTAAAAATAAGTTCAAATAAATAACAAGCAAGTACAAATAAATTCAATATCTGCTGATATATATCAACGAATAGCAATACAGATAAATTAAAAATATCTCTCATATTGGCAAATAGTTGATTTGTTACCTGCATTAATACGATTCATGCATGCATTATCATACATACTATTTAAAATGCAGCCAACATAGGATGCAATTGTCATAAACCGTAACTGTTTTCGATTCTGAAAGTTGCTGGACACTTTTTTGGCTAATATTGATTTCTGATCAATCTATGACTGTTAGTTTTGATGCTTAATGGTGCTTTGTGTCGTCCCTGAAGGTTATCAGCTCAATTCGGCTGACTGTATGGACATTCGTTACAACAAATCGGTTGCGGAGCACCTGTGCCACAGCTTCCCAGAGAACACCAAACCCACACCCAAACTCAAGGAGTGCAACATGGATCCCTGCCTTGAAAGGCAGGTTCTGTCTTATCGATCTCTGCTGCACACCCTGCATGACAAAACGCAATGAGCGAAGAATGAATCTCAATAACCCAGAGAGTGTCTGTGCATGAGCTTATGATCGTGTGGATAATGGCTTGAAGGGCTAATGGTGTTTGTTTTTCTGCAGTGATGGTTTCAAGGAAGTGATGCCCTATGACCAGTACCAGCCTCTACCACGGTATGAAGTTATTTACTGTACAACACTCTTACTGCTCACATACTGATAGAGATCACTGATGCTCACTGACAGAATTGAACATCATTCATCAGGACCAACTTTGACTTTGAATGTTAATTTGACAACTCTGAAAGCTTAACAATGGCTCTAAGGAAGTAGTTTTAATACTTTCAAGAATGATATATATATATATATAATTCCTGAAAGTGCTGTATCATTGCTGTATCATTGCTCTTTTGTTGATTTTGACTGCTTCCATTATCCTCATTTGTAAGTCACTTTGGATAAAAGTGTCTGCTAAATGTC